GATTTATGAACAGAAATTTCGCAAACTTACAAGCAATATAAAGTTTTATTCTAGTCTGGAACTTCCTTGATATCTTATTCAGGGTTCACGATGAGCGAGTTAATTTCACGTTGATGTAGATACGATTCGCCGGGAAGCTAGCTAGTTTTGTCCTTGGCCACACACACTAGGTTTTCCACGGTTAAATTTAGGTAATGTTTTCGTAAAAATATTAATGTAATGTTCGAAATTTATAAATATTCCTGGTTAAATATCTTAAGTTTTCTGATTGATAAGCGTTATAAAAATCACAATTATAGTTTTCGAAGTTTATAGCACACTGATTATAACGAATTACTAATAGACACTCTTCTTGGCGCGTCGCGTTGGTTGTATTTATTGGCGTGGGAAGGTTTTCTAGAAAATTCAGATTACATAACAATACTGAGCTATATTTAAACGTTTACGTATATGGATATATTGTTGATTCTCATTCTCGAGAATCTTTACAACTTTGGAGAATAAGTTTCACAATACATATCTAACACTACAATCTATGCATGTTTCTAAATATAAACTTGATCTAAACAACGTTCATATTAAAATAAATACACAACAACAAATTCGTTACACGAAAATATAATCAATTGTCTTCGAAAGTTTTTTTTATCAAATATTACGGTAATATAATCAATTTTTATTCAAAGGTGCTTACCCTGTATCAAAGAAATGTAGTCAATTACTATTCAAGAATCCCAGCCAGGTATCACAGAAATATAATAAGTTGCCTGTTTGTTTGGTTTGAATTTCGCGCAAAGCTACACGAGGGCTATCTGTGCTAGCCGTTCATAATTTAGCAGTGAAAGACTAGAAGGAAGGCAGTTAGTCATCACCACCCACAATCAACTCTTGGATTACTCTTTTATCAAGGAATAGTGGGATTGACCATCACATTATAACGTCCCCACGGCTGAAAGGGTGCGCATGTTTGGTGGGACGGGAATTCGAACCCGCGACTCTCAGATTTCGAGTCAAGCACCCTAACCACCTGACCATGCTGGACCAGTAAGTTGTTATCTAAGAGCGCTGGCTAGGTATCACGGAAAGGTAATAAGTTGTCATCCAAGAGTGCTGGCCCAATATCACAGATCTGTAATCAATTATCATCCAAAGGCGCTAACAAAATATTATAGAAATTTAATCAATTTTCATTCAAGAGTTCTTAAGACTTATTAAGGAAATTATTTCAATTATCATTTAATGGTGTTGACCGAATATTAAGGAAACTTAATTTATTGTATTTCAAGGACGTTGACCAAATATTCGGAAAATTTCATAATTTTTCACTTATGAGTTTCTGATAGAATTAATGTTGTGTAAAAATATATTTTAAAGGTTTATCAATAGAATGCACCGAAGATTATATTATAGGATAAGTGAAATTCTATCTTAAATTTGTGTAAATAACGACACATGCGCACTATGCGGTTGATTTTTTTCGTAGTTGGTTTTGAATCTCCAACGCAAATGGTAGAACAATATAATTAAACTCGTCCCTTTCAGTTAAATAGTGTATAATATCATATGAAAGGTAGACATTGAATAATCTCGTCCCCTTCTGTTAAATAGTGTATGATATCATATGGAAGGTAAACATTGAATAACAAGAGGCTGCTCAATTTGTGTGTATCTTAACGTTAAGCTCAGTGTACACAAATGTCTCCTCTAGACTAATTCTAAGGACTATAAAAATATGACTCAAAAGATTCAGCTTTCAAAAGCAACCAAATATGCCCAGTATTATTACAACTTCTTACAATGTGTGCGCACGTCAGTTAATATATCTAACAGATGTCATATAGTTTAATGATATACAGATTTCTAACTAGTCATATTTAAGAGTTTAATTTCTTTATGAAATTAATTTTATAATGCTTACTTGCTTATGGCTATTGGTCAGCTTTGCTTTCCCTTTTTTGTAATATAAACATATATGTAAAAAAAAATATCGCTTTTCTTCGTTCCTGAGACAAACAACATTTCGTGACACAAATTTTCAAGGAATAACGTAAATAAATGTAAACTCATATGACTTTGTTTCTCGTCCTGAATTTTGCATGTGTGCCTCTGAATGATTTGCAAGTGTTACATAGGAATATTTTATCTTTAGCATCTTGCAGCATTTATCTGTGCTTATTACCTTAAACTTGCATATTATAATCCTAGATATTTCCTCTTATCATGAGACGTTTTCAGCTCTCAAAAACGAGGGCTAGGGTTATATTTAATATCAGCTTCAAGCTTAAATTAGCTTCTTTCTTCTTCTTCTTGCATTAGAAAGGTATAGAAGGCGAAGACTCTGTTAGTGACACTTCTGATCAAGTGACCACTGATGACGTCAGTTCCCTTCCATCGAAAACTACAGAAGGAAATATCTCGAATTCGCCGTCCAGCCGCCAGTTTCGTCGTCTGTCCTCAACAACCAAATACATTCCTCTTAAAATGAGCAGAAAAATTGATACAATTTCTTCAAAGTGTCAACCATCAAAGAACGTTGTGTTGGGCATCACGAGAGGTTGGTGCAATAATTTCTAATGAGGTTAAAATTATGAATATTAAGTTCTCGTCTTTTGTTTAGAGTACTCGTTCTGTTACCTAATTAGTGTCACGAATTGCTTTTAACGCTTATGTTCTTTGCAGATTGCTTTGATAAGATAGAAGAGACTGTGATCAACATTTACAAGTAAGTATTCCTCAAGTGAAAAAATATACAAACTGGGAAATATGATGATCGAATCTATGGCTTAGATGCATATACCAGTACTAATTATTTCAAATCAAAATATACTAACAACATGGGCATTTTCTTAACAGAGTGAGTAGTTTAAATCTAAGTAGCGAATACTGAATAATAAAATTACATAATTACAGTAATAATAGTTGAGAAGTAATATTTGAAAACTGCATGTACTACTGGTTAACATGTGTTAAACCTAATTCTATGAGAGTAAGACCAAAAGTTTTCTTTAGTTCGACTTTACACATTTATAATAAATCTTATATCATTTAAAGTACTATGTAATTTCACTAGCTTAATAGGGGCGTAATTACCTAGATGTGATTGTTCTGAATAACTTTATTAAGTTTTCCCCATGTAAAACCGTTTTGATGTTATACATAAACAACTGGATCCTATTTCTCATTATACATGTTACTTTTTTGTTGTTAATGATTTCTTCTTTGCAAGCAAATAACAAATTTTAATGATAAAGTTAAATTTAGAGGAGGTAAAAAAATCCACAAATAGTGTGATGTGGCTTTATTCTGACTTTACCAAAAATATATTTAAACTTACAATTATGTCCTTTACACAATATTGTATGCTAGAATTACGACTATGATAAATATAAGTAAATTCTAAATTCTCAAATAACTTGGGTCATTTGAAAGGAAATTTGTAGATGTTGCTCAATATTATTAAACAAAAACACAAAGAAAATTGTGTAATCGTGTATTGTTTATTAGCATTACTCTAATATTATGCTTCAAGCCATTTAATTCTCCTGAAAAATATTAAAATATATACGAGAATTACGGTAAAAATTAATGTTAACAACGAGGATACCTAACTAATGAAAATTACATTGTTATCATTATAAGTAAAAACAGTATATTAAATTATCTGCATTCACTACTGGAATATTTTTTGTATTGATTTTTGTAGGTAGCTTGCTATCATAAGAAGTTGATTTGTTATTACTTTTCAAGCCAATTAGTTCCAGAGAAATACCAAACGAAACGTTTCTAACCCTCCAGAATTTAGCTTTATTTGTATACACCGTTTTAGCTACTGAGATAAGCAGAAAAAAGTCAAAATTTGACGGATATGGTAACGAAAGTTTGTAAAAAGTTTATAAGTTAATATAAATTCAGTTTTGGTTTAAAAACTACTCTACAATTTATATATAATGATGTAATGATACTTTAAAGTTTAATTACGTTTTAGCACACATTCGTCTGGTAAAAGAAACAATAGTTGTACTGTAAGTCCCAAATAACATTTAATTACATTTCTTTTAAATATAAAGCGTCAGTTTTTGTTTATTAATTAATGTAAATTATTTAGTTTACGTTGTATGTATTATGATTTTTCTAGGCTCCCTCGGACGTCCTTACTGTTGTTTGTGTCCACCGTGCTGTAAGTTCAAACCATTACTGTTACAGCTCATTTTCACTTAACTCTTCAAATATTCCCATGAAAAAGTTACTATAATATCACAATGTCGACGTGGTTTAACGTCGAGGAAAAGTTACAGGAGGCGCTTACATTTTTCTTTTACAATTTTCTATAAACACTCAGTAAATGCTTGATGAAATTAGGTCATCAAGAAATTAATGTCGCGTTTTGGAACACTTTCATTTATCACCCCCCCCCCAAAAAAAGACGTACATCACGTATAATAGTTAAACGAAGCCCCTAAACGTCACGTTAGTGTAGACTATATAACGTGTAAAGTTTAGTATACTATAATCCCTTATAGTGATGGCACACGACGAGACACACATTCGGCATGTAATGCTGTTTGAATAAAAGAAGAGAAACAACGCCTCTGTAGCCACAAAGAATATCAAATAAGTTTATGGAAAACTTTGAACGTTCGTAAGTGTCAACGATGGTTCAGCAAAT